CCTACGGCGGCCTGGGTGCAGTTCGGCGAAGTACAAGCTGAGGAGCTGGCTACATGGAGTACATGATGAGCAGCACGGACGACCAGAGCAACGCGACAGAAGCGAAGCAACAGGAGTGGAATTGTCTGGACGCACGGCGGAAAGAACGGTAGACGAAGCAGCGCGCACTGGCAGTTCGATGGGAAAGGAGCAGATCATTGAACAAACCCAGGAGTCATAACAACACGTAGAGGGAGGAAAAGTGGAATCTGCCAAAGCAGAAGATCGGAAACACGATGAGAAGCAAGCAAGAACCTGGTTTGCGGCGAAAAGAGCAGTAGAAGACGCGGCAAGCACTGGTAGTTCGGCAAAAAGGACGCAGGCTACGACGTGCACGGGTGAGACTAAGCCCCTTGGCACAGGGGGCCCCAGCTACGGAGTCGACAAAAGCGGCAATCCCAAAGAAGAACCAGAAGCGGTGAATAATGCTGCAAGAACAGAGAGCTCGGCGAAAAGGACGGAAGTACAGCTTACATCAAATACACCATGTACGACAAGCGCGCAGGAGAGTCTCCCAGGACGAAGAGAAATGAGAGAGAACCCCTTGGCGCAGGGGCAATAAGGAGCGATCCCCTTGACACAGGGGCGATAGGGGAACAGAGACACCAAGGCGGCAAGGACGTGCAGGACAGCGGAATGGGCGGACGAACCCAGTGAAGAAGCACCACCAAGTTCGGCGAGAAACAGCAAAGCAGGGTACCAAAGAAGTAAAGATGGACAAAGCGGGACTGAGGCAACAAGACAGAGGCCCCTTGACGGAGGGGGGAAACGAGCAGCAAAAGACGCCAAGGGGAGAAAAGCAGCGAGAAGAGGAGCCCAGCCAAAGGAAGAAATGCTGGAATATGACAAAGGCCTCGACCCTGAAGAACAAGCGCACAGAGAAAGGATGGCCCCGCTCTTCCAGATGCTGAAAGAAGCCAAAGGAAGAAAGCTAAAGCAACAAAGGCAGGAACTAACATACTAATATGATAGCGACGATGGGGGCGAAAGAAGAGAGGCCAGTACACAGTATGTAGACGACTATCCCCGTGACTCAGGGGACCTGAGGAATGGGGAAGCCGAAGCCACTGGACGTAAAGAAGAAGCACGAGAGGAATCAGGCAAGAAAGCAGCAAGGACTGGGGGCACGGCGAAAAAGGGCGAACGAGGGCGCGGCAAGTTCGAGCAGCGCGGCGAGAAGGACGCGGGCCACGAACCCCACGAATGCGACAAAGCGCCTTGGCGCAGGGATGCCGAAAGCGCAGAAGTTAAACGTGGTGAGCACAAAGCACAACCAGAAGCAAAGAGTAAAGCGGCAAGAACTGGGAGTTCGGCGAAATGAATAAAAGAAGAACAATTATCCCAGTGCGACCCGACCCAGGAGTTGGAGCATTTAGGACAGCACCATCTACATCTACACCGGCAGCTACATTTACATACACACCTGCATATGTGCTATGCTATGATATGCTATGCTATGTTATGATGTGCTATGCTGCGCTATGCTAATCTATGATATGATATGCTATGTTATGAGATGCTGCGCTATGCTGTGATATGATATGCGATGCTATGCTATGCTGTGCTATGCTATGATGTGCTATGCTATGATATGCTGCCCTGTGCTGTGATAAGCAGTGCTATGATATGCTATGATATGATGTGCTATGGTATGCTGCGTTGTGCTATGCTATGCTATGCTATGATGTTATATGCTGAGCTATGCTCTGCGATGCTATGCTATGCTATGATTGGCAATGTTATGCTATGTTGTGCGAATGCTGCGCTGCGCCATGCTGCGCTAAGCTAAGGCAAGCAAAGCTATGCTAATGTAGGCTAAGCTACGATAAGCTAAGCTAGGCTAAGCTTAGCTAAGCTAAGCTTATCTAAGCTAAGCTTAGCTAAGCTAAACTAAGATGAGATAAGTTAAGCTAAGCTAAGTTAAGTTATGCTAAGCTAAGCTAGGATGAGAAAAGCTTAGCTTAGCTTCGCTTAGCCTAGCCTAGCTTAGCTTAGCTTAGCTTAGCTTAGCTTAGCTTAGCTTAGCTTAGCTTAGCTTAGCTTAAGTTAAGCTTAGCTAAGTTTAGCTAAGCTAAGCTGGGTGAACCCAGGGGGCGTAACTGGGGGAACCGCGGGGCGGGGACTGGGGGAACCGCCCGGGGCGCTTTCCACTGCCCGGCCCCTTTAAGCTAGAGAATAAGAACCCTTCTAGGCGGAGCCTAGGTAGGGAAAAAGCAGACACGCAGAGCAACGAAAGACAAACAGCTATAAAAGAACCCCTTGACGCAGGAGCAGACGGCAAGACAAGAGGTGCAAACGCGGCACGATCTGAGAGCACGACGAAAAGGACTGACACACCCAGGAAAGTGGCAACACCTAGCTCGGCGGGGAGCTTCAAAGAAGGGCACCAGAAAAGAGCAGCCAGACAAAGCGAAGCCGCAGAAGCAAGAGGTGAGCCCCTCGACGCAGGAGAATGAAGTTACCCCGTGACATGGGGGAAAGAAGAGCAGCGGGAAGAGGAGCCAAGCCACGAGAAGAGGACCCACAAGAGCTGAAATAACAGGAACCTGACCACGACGGAAAAGCTGAAAGGGAAAAGATGGCCCCGCTCTTCCGCATGCTGAAAGAAGCTAAATAAAGAAAGCTGCGGAAGCTGAACCGGGAAAGAAGAGGAGGAGAAGCTGAGGAGGGCGAAAAGAGAGGAAAGAACAAGGACATCTCGGAGCACCAGGCCCACAAGTGCTACCTGGCCTCTGAGGTGGCGGCGGCCCCAGACCCGCCCCAACCTCACCACGTGAGAACTGAAACTGCTGGAAAAACTCCTCCTCCTCCTCCTCTTCCTCCTCCTCCTTCTCCTCCTCCTCCTCCTCTTCCTCCTCCTCCCCCCCCGTCCTCCTCATCCTCCCCCTCCTCCTCCTGTTCCCGTTGTCCAGAGAGGGCGGGGCGCGCCCCCTCCCCAGATCTCCGACGTTCCACCACCGCCGTTTTTTTGTTGCAATTCTCTGCTCCAGTACCCTCCTTGTTCCTAGGGTGAAGTCGGACCTGTCCCTCTACAGGGTGTAGGTTTGAGCATATGGGGGTGTATTTTTTGAGTCAGCAAAATCGTCAAATATCCGCCTGTAGGGGGACATGCCCGACCTGATCATAGGGTGTCCAGCAGGCCCTGAAGGGCCATCAACACACGGCACGCGGCACACCAAACGGACCGAGGGACGGGGTCGAGAGCTCCTGGGGGACAAAGCATTGAGTAAAGTCATGACGGAGGACGAAGAGGATCTGTTGTGCCGTCAGCAGGATGAGGAGTAGGAGGAGGAGGAGGAGGAGGAGGAGGAGGAGGAGGAGGAGGAGGAGGAGGACGGGGAGGAGGAGGAGGAGGAGGAGGAGGAGGAGGAGGAGGAGGGGGAGGGGAGAGGAGGAGTAGGAGGAGAGGAGGAGGAGGAGGAGGAGGAGGAGGAGGAGGAGGAGGAGGAGGAGGAGGAGGAGGAGGAGGGAGGAGAGAAGAGGTCTTCACATCACAGTGTCGGGCTCCACTCCTGATGGGGGGGGGAGGAGGGGTCATCCGACTTCCCCGCGAGCCGCGAGGAGCAGGGGGGGAGGATGACGAAGAGGATTTGTTATGCCCTCAGCTCGGGGAAACGTAAGACTCGAGTACGCCGGAACTCGGGTTTGTCGACGTCTTTTGGCGAGCGCGTCCTGGGTTTTGACGGTCCAGTTTTCGCTGGATGTTTGCGGCGGAAGTTTGCGTCACATTCCAGATTGGGTTTCGTCATTTTCATGATTGCCCCGTCAGGCCAACCCGAATCCCCCGAATCCGAGTCTTACGTCCCCCCGAAACTCCGACGTCGCGATTGTTTTTCACAGCGTGGACCCAACGTTCCATGCACAACAGAGAGCCACAACCACAACTGAATGGATTTTTCGGGAGGGCCCCTCGGGGAAGAACCTACCGACCTCGTCGACGTGAGCACTTTGGCTGTGGTTGTGGTCGGCTTGGCCGTCCTGGGACGCCGCATCGACCACAGTCAGCACGAAGTTGGTGTCGGTGCTCCGACGAGCTCTTGACATCCGCAAGACATCCCCCAGGGTGTGTCCTCGGTCCTCAATGTGGTTGCGGTCGCTCTTTTTCCCTGCGTCCAACAAGAAAGACGGCATAAACATAAACTTTTGGCGCTCCGCGCGGATTTCTTGAATCTTCGCTGGGGCCCCCTGGCGGCGCCTCCGGCGCCGCGCCCCTGGCGCGCTCCGCGCGCCAGGGAGGGAGGTCCAGCTCAGCTCCAAGGAATCCGCGCGGAGCGCCGAATGATTATGTGCTTATACCATGTTTTCTTCCTCCTCCTCCTCCTCCTCCTCCTCCTCCTCCTCTTCCTCCCCCTCCTCCTCCTCCTCCTCCTCCTCCTCCTCCTCCTCCTCCTCCACTTCCTCCTCCTCCTCCTCCTCTTCCTCCTCCTCCTCCTCCTCCTGCCCGTCCTCCCCGTCCTCCCCGTCCTTCTCCTCCTCCTCCTCCCCTCCTCCTCCTCCTCCTCCTCCTCTCCTCCTCCTCCTCCTCCTCCTCTTCCTCCTCTTTCCTCCCCCTCTTCCTTCTCTCCTCCTCCTCCTCCTCCTCCTCTTCCTCTCCCCTCTTCCTCTCCTCCTCGTCCTTCTCCTCCTCCTCCTCCCCCTCCTCCTCCTTCCTCCTCCTCCTCCTCCTCCTCCCCGTCCTCCCCGTCCTCCTTCCCTCCTCCTCCTCCTCCTCCTCCTCCTCCTCCTCCTCTTCTCCTCCTCCTCCTCCTCTCTTCCCCCCTCCTCCTTCTCCTCCTCCTCTTCCTCCTCCTCTTTCTCCTCATCCTCCTCCTCCCTCCTCCTCCTCCTCCTCCTCCTCCTCCTCCTCCTCCTCTCCTCCTCCTCCTCCCTCCTCCCCCCTCCTCCTCCTCCTCCTCCTCCTCCTCCTCCTCCTCCTCCTCCTCCTCCTCCTCCTCCTCCTTCCTCCCGTGCATCCCATGGAGGGCGCCGCCCCCGCAGCTGGCCCGGACGGCGGCGCCGCCGGCGTAGGCACCGGCGGCGACGAGAGCCAAGCTGGCGACGAGGAGCCAGAGGGGGGCGACGAGGACAGCGTCGGCGACGGGAAGTTTTTGGGCGTTTCGTGTCTTCGGGGGGGGGACAGGACAGAAGGGGGGTCGGGCGTTTTCGGGTGCCTTCGGGCGTCTTCGTCGGCTCGCGGCGGTCTTCCAGCCTCGGGGTGCCTTCCAGCGGCTGCGCCTCGCCGAGGGCGCTCCAGGGGTGCCAGAATCGCCCCGAACGGCCGCCGGAGAGCCGAGTTATCGTATCATCTTACGTTCGACGACGACCTCCTGTATCCAGGCCTTCCAGATGGGGTCCAAGTACACGGGCTCGGAGCATCGCGCCGCATCGACGATGCATCGGCGATGCTTCTCGATGTGGAGCCCGATTTGCTCCACGTCGACGTTGCCGATGCATCGCCCACGTCGACGATGGATACATCGCCGATGCCTCGCCGATGTATCGGCGATGCGGCGCGATCCTTCGACCCCATCTACTCCGACCCCATCTAGGAGGCCTCTGTGTACCGGCTCTGGGCGGGGGGGGGGGGGAGACATCGAGGTTTTCGGGCGCTCTGGCCGGTTCTCGACGGTTTTCCGGCCTCGGGGCGCCTTCCAGCAGCTGCGCCTCGCCGAGAGCGTTTTCCACGGGTACCCCGATTCGTCCCGGAGCAGGCGCCGGAGGCCCGAGGTATCGCCCAAAAGCCATGAGCCCTCGAGCCCTGGAGCCCTCGATCAGAGGGGGGAGCTCCTCCTCCTCCTCCTCCTCCTCCTCCTCCTCCTCCTCCTCCTCCTCCTCCTCCTCCTCCTCTTCCCTCCTCCTCTCTCCTCCATCCTCCTCCTACTCCTCCTGCCCCCTCCTTCTCCTACTCCACCCCCCTCCTCCTCCTCCTTCTCCTCCTCCTCCTCCTCCTCCTCCTCCTCCTCCTCTTCCTGAATCCTCTGCTCCTCCTCCTCATCCTGGGGAGCTTTTGTCGCCACGGATGGATTCTTCCTCGAAGTTCTAGTCAGAGCGCACCCCAGGGGAGGTCCGGGGAGCAGAGCGTTACCGGTAATTACATGTTGGTTTCCGCAGATCTTTTTCGCCGTCGTATCCCTCCTCAAGTCCATCGTCGTCGCCACTGTCCAGTCGGCGTTGCGATGTCTTTACTCCGAGCGTTTTCGCACGGCTGCTGGTCCCGCTTGAAAAATGCCGCAGGCAGATTTGGTCTAGTGTCTAGTGTTCCAGTCGTCATGTTTCGCGATGTTTTTTTGCAACGTCGGATCTCAGCGCCGTCGTCCTCCTCCACCTCGCCGTCGTCTTCCTCCTCCTGCCTTCCTCGCCTCCTGTCCCCCACGGCCCCACCTCGTCCCCTCCCGATCCCCATCTCGGGCCCAATCCTTCCAAGATTGCTTCTCGCCCTCCTTCTCGGATGCGAGGGTGGGTAGGGTAGCATTCGCCACTGCCTGTCGCGTCCTGGTCTTTGCGAGCTGGCGGCTCGAAACTCTGGCAAGCACTTTGCGAATGGGTCTCTTAGTCGCCTGGCCAGCGATTCAAGCTGCAAATCTTTAGCGAAGTATGCGATGTCTCTATCCCAGGCTGTCGCACGGAAGAACAAAGGAGTTGTGCGTTGCTTCCATCTCCCCCAGAGTAGCCAGAGCAATCGGGCGCTCAGGCAGAACGGCTAATTGCGGATCGAGTCAACGAGGAGATATCTTACAGATTTCCCTGGCCGATTCGACCTTGTCGTTGTTTTGCCTCCTCATCCTCCTCCTCTTCCTCTTCCTTCTCCTCCTCCTCCTCCTCCTCCTCCTGCTTCTCTTCCTCGTCTTTCTCACCATCCTTCTCTTCCTTCGCTCCCCCCTCCCAATGGATATTATGATTGCAGGTGCTCCCCCCCCTCCTCCCACTCTCTTCCTCGTCATCCTTCTTCTTCTGTAGCAATCCCCTTTCCCCGCCACCCTCCTCTGCTCCTTTTTCGTCTCTATCCTCCCCCTCTCCCCCGCCTGCCTTCTCCCTCCCCCTCTCTTCCCCCGCCTGCCTTCCTTGCTCCCTCTCTCTTCCCCCTCCTGCCATCCCTCTCCTCCCCCTCTCTTCCCCCTCCCCCTCCCTCTCCTGCCTTCCTCCCCTCCTCCACCCATCCTCCTCCATCTCGGCCCTCTCTCCTCCTCCCCCTGATCCCCTCCTACCCCTCCTCTCTCCGCCCGCTCCTCCTTCTGCCCTCCCCCCCCCGATCCCCCTCCGCCCCCTCCCATCCCCCTCCTCCCCCTTCCTCCTCGTCCTCCTCCTCCTCCTCGTCCTCCTCCTCCTCCTCCTCCTCCTTCTCCTCCTCCTCCCCCCTCCTACCCGGCCACCTCCTCCCTCCTCCTCCTCATCCTCCTCATCCTTCTCCTCTCCTCCTCCTCCTCCTCTCCTCCTCCTCCTCCTCCTCCTCCTCCTCCTCCTCCTCATCATCATCATCATCATCATCATCACATCATCATCATCATCATCATCATCATCAATCATCATCATCATCATCATCTCATCATCATCATCATCATCTCCACCACCAGCAGCAGCATCATCCTCCTCCTCCCGGTCCCCCTCCTCCTCCTCCTCCTCCTCCTCCTCCTCCTCCTCATCCTCATCCTTATCCTTCTCCTCCTCCTCCTCATCTTCCTCCCGTCCCCTCCTCCTCTCCTCCTCCTCCCTCCTCCTCGTCCTTCTCCTCTACCTCCTCCTCCCCCGTCCGCCCCGTCCGCCTCCTCCTCCTCCTCCTCCTCTTCCTCCTCCTCCTTCTCCTCCTCTCCTCGACCTCCTCCTCCTCCTCCTCCTCCTCCTCCTCCTCCTCCTCCTCCTCCTCCCCCTCCTCCCTCGACACACGACGTCGACGTAGACGGCGGCGGCGGCGCACCCCCCGACAGCGAGGAGCTCGCGGTGCGCTGACCGCGGCGAAGCCTCGGCCCGTGCCGCCCCGTGGCAGTTGGGCCGTCAGGGAGGAGATTCTCGATTTCGGGTCGTCGTCGCGACGACGACGACGACGACGACGACGACGACGACGACGACGACGACGACGACGGCTATGACGACGACGACGACGACGACGGCGACGACGACGGCGACGACGACAATCACGACGACGTCGACGACGACGACGATCACCACGACGACGACGACGACGATCACGACGACGACGATCACGATCACGATCACGACGACGACGACGACAACGGCTATGACGACGACGAGGACGACGACGACGTTGTCGTCGTTCTATTGCGAGGCGGCGGCGGCGGCGAGCACCCGCACGCACGCCGCCGCCGTCGAGGGCAGCAATGCACCCAGAGATCCGCGGCTCCGGAGCCAGAGATCTCTGCTGCCTGCTCCCTCCTCCTTGCTGCTCCTCTTGAGGAGGGGCAGGAGGAGGCACAGGACGGAGCAGGAGGAGCATTCTTCCACCATCCGCGGCAACAAGCGGCCCACCGTACGCCACGAGGAGGCGAGCTATTCCTCCCAAGGAGCTTTACACGATAGCCGAGCACGAGGCGGCAGGTTTTGGGCTGTTTTGGCCCTCCTGGGGCCCTCAACGGGCCCTGGGACTGCAAAAACGGCTCAGGATGAAGACCCGGTCCTCTGAAGTGGTCCAGACCTCCAGGGGCCGTCGGGGAGTGGATCCCTTCGATGTCTGTGCATCGGAGCCTTGGGTGGCGGCTTGAAATCAGCCCTTCCTGCATTCGGGCCGCATTTGGCCCTGCCCCCTGCTCCTCCTCGCCCTTCCTGTTCCCCCTCCCCCTCGTTCTTCTCGTCTCCCTTGTGGAGGTGCGGATCTGTTCCACATCCAGCCCGAATCCGGTCCCACATGTGATTCAAGCTTGGCCCAGCTCAGGCTCAAATTGGACAGCGCCCGGGGCCACGCAGGCTCCCATGGAACAGACACCAAAGAGGTCCCCGACTTTGGATCTGCCGTTCTTTGGTTTTCCTATTTCAAATGAGGCGATCTTGTTCCCTGGCGATAGTGGCTGTGGGGAGGGGCATAGGGGTGCCGGTCGCGTCACGATTCGCGCCGGCGTTGCCTGTGAATGCTCAGGAATGGGCCACGCGGCGTGATGCGACCAGGGGGGGAGGAGGGGGTGGGCGGGGCCGGTCATGGCCGTGATCGCCAATGAGAAAAATGGAGTTCAAGTGTCTCGGGAATGAACCCCAAACGATGCGAACAAGCAGGGTGGAAATGCTCGCTTCGTAGTAGTAGTAGGGCGGATATCCTCGCAAGGGTACCGCTGAAACAGCGACGGCAAAGAAGGGCGGACATCGATACCGAAGAAACTTGGAAAGTGCATTTCCGCCGTACTTGCGAAATCGTTCAAATCTCAGACGATGTGGCTTTCGCCGTCTTGACTCTTTTGGCTCCGACGACCACGACGGGTGGTGTTTGGTAGTCTTCGGCCTCAGGTGGCCCTCGCCAGGGCACAGGACCGTCAAGCAACGACCCGGGATGAATAGCCAGTCCAGGGGGAAGGGGTCCCAGATCTCCGACGATATGGCCTTGGCCTTCTTGACCGTTTGTTTAACCCGACGATCACGGCGGGTTGTTGTTGTTGGCAGTTTTCGGCCTCTGGGGGCCCTCGCCAGGTCCCAGGACCTTCAAGAGACGAGCAGGGATAAAAACCCGGCCGGTGGAAAGGGGTCCCAGATCTTCGACGACATGATTTTCCGACCCGATTCCCAACCGACATGCTGGGGCTGTCAGATCTAATGGGAACAAGAGGTTCCCGATCCCCCATGCGAGGGGGGGGGGCGTGACCGCGTCGTCGTCGTCGTCGCTATCTCCTCGAGGCTGGAGGAGAAGCATGAGGAGGAGGAGGAGGCCGGGAGGAGGAGGAGGCGGAGGAGGAGGAGGAGGGGGACAGGAAGGATGACGATGATGATGATGATGATGATGATGATGATGATGATGATGATGATGATGATGATGCTGATGCTGATGCTGATGCTGATGCTGATGCTGATGCTGATGCTGATGCTGATGCTGATGCTGATGTTGATGTTGATGCTGATGCTGATGATGATGATGCTGCTGGTTGTGATGATGATGATGATGATGATGATGATGATGATGATGATGATGATGATGGTGATGGTGATGGTGATGATGATGATGCTGATGATCGGAGGTTGGGGGGTGAGATCGGAGTGGAACGGAGACCCCCAACTGGGAAATCGTTTCGTTTCGTTCGTGTCGTGTGTGCGGGCGAGGCGAAGCTGCGTGGGCGCGCGAGAGGAATAACCCGCCGTTGCCAGGGCGAATCCAGGACAAATGATTCTCACCCGCCCGTCCATCCGTCCGTCCGGCGGTGGCTCGCGGTGTCCCACGGTGTCCCGTGGTGTCCCGTGGTGTCCCGTGGTGTCCGCCGTTGTTAGGGCGAAGTCAAGACAAATTATTATCCCCCTCCCGCCCGTCCGTCCGTCCGGCGATGGCTCGCGGTGCCCCGCGGTGTCCCGTGGTGTCCCGTGGTGTCCCGTTGAGTGAGATCGATACTGAGATCGATATTGAGATCGATGTGGTGCCCCGAGGTGTCCCGTGGTGTCCCATGGTGTCCCGAAAACAGAGATCGATAGTGAAATCGACAGGTGTCCCGTGGTGTCCCGTTGAGTGAGATCGATAGTGAGATCGATATTGAGATCGATGTGGTGCCCCGAGGTGTCCCGTGGTGTCCCAAAAAGAGAGGTCGATAGCGAGATCGACAGGTGTCCCGTGGTGTGTCCCGTTGAGTGAGATCGACAGTGAGATCGACAAGTGTCCCGTGGTGTCCTGTGGTGTCCCGTTGAGTGAGATCGATAGTGAGATCGATTTAGTCAGATGTTGGTTCCCCCCCTCTCCCCCCCCCGCACAACCTCCTTATCACCCGAAGGGTGGTCGTTTAGATAATGATTATAATGATGATGATGATGATGATGATGATGATGATGAGGAGGAGGAGGATGAGGATGATGAGGATGAGGATGAGGATGAGGATGAGGATGGTGATGATGATGATGATGATGATCATGGTGATGAGGATGATGATGCTGATGCTGATGCTGATGATGATGATGGTGATGATGATGATGATGATGATGATGATGATGATGATGATGATGATGATGATGATGATGATGATGATGATGATGATGATGATGCTGATGCTGATGATGATGATGATGATGATGATGATGATGATGCTGGTGCTGGTGCTGGTGCTGGTGCTGATGCTGATGATGCTGATGATGCTGATGCTGATGCTGATGCTCATGCTGCTGATGATGATAATTATGATTATTGATGATGCTGATGATGATGATGATGATGATGATGATGATGATGATGATGATGATGATGATGATGATGATGATGATGATGATGATGGTGATGATGATGATGATGATGATGATGATGATGAGGATGAGAGAGGAGGGAGAGGAGGAGGAGAGGAGGAGGAGGAGGGGAGGGAGGAGAGGAGGAGGGGGCCAGGAGGAAGATGAAGAGGAGGAGGTGGTGAGGAGGAGGAAGAGGAGGAGGAGGAGGAGGAACAAGAAAAATAAGACGAAGAAGAAGAATAATAAGACGAATAATAATAATAGTAATAAAAAGAAGAAGAATAAGAAGAATAGTAAGACTAATAAGAAGAAGAAGAGGAGGAGGAGGAGGAGGAGGAGGAGGAGGAGGAGGAGGGGGCGGCGAGGAGGACCAGAAGGAGGAGTTGGAGGAGGAGGAACGGGAGGAGGAGGAGGAGGAAGAGGAGGAGGAGGAGGAGGACCAGTGTACAACCGAGAGTCATCAACGATGTTGGAATTCACCCTCCCTCCAAGCTCCCTCTTCCTAGGCCCCCACAACAGTTCATTGCCATTGAGGGCGCTGCCTCGTTGGAAAACAACAGTTTCAAGATCCTAAAGCATGCCAGGACATTGCTCTCGGGATTTCAACGCCACGTATCAACCTGCCTGCTGCGCCTTGACGATCCGGAATCGTTCCCGAGCGTTTTTGTTTTGACTTTCAACACCGCGAATCAACATATGTGTTGCGCCCGCGTAATCTTGAATTTGTCCAAACACCATTTCAGGTACGTTGATCATGGGAATCCGTGAAACTCTTGAAACTTGTTCCCAACCATCCTGTGGTGTTGGGTCCTCGTTTTGAAGAGACGGTGCCCCGCGTCTCTCCTTCCTCCTCCCCCTCCTCTCCCTCCTCCCTCCTCCCCCTCCTCTCGGCGCACCTCTCACACGTTTCGTAGCCCCATAGGGAGCTCCACCGAAGGCCCCAGAAGGGGGGGGGGGGTCGCATGCGTCTCCCCCACCCAGGGCAGCGCTTCGTGGCCCCATAGGGAGCTCCGCCGATGGCCCCAGTGGGGGGGGGTCGCATGCGGTTCCCCCACCCAGGGCAGCGTTTCGTGTCCCCATAGGGAGCTCCGCCGATTGCCCCAGTGGGGGGGGGCGCATGCGGTTCCCCCACCCAGGGCAGCGCGTCGTGTCCCCATAGGGAGCTCCGCCGATGGCCCCAGTGTGGGGGGGGTCGCATGCGGTTCCCCCACCCAGGACAGCGCCCCGTGGCCCCATAAGGAGCTCCGCCGATGGCCCCAGTGTGGGGGGGTCGCATGCGGTTCCCCCAGCTGGGGCAACGCTTCGTGGCCCCATAGGGAGCTCCGCCGATTGCACCAGCGGAGGGGGGGGGTCGATGGCCCCCGTGGAAGGGGGGGGGGGGGGGGGGGGGGTCGCATGGCGGTTCCCCCACCCAGGCCAGCGCTTCGTGGCCCCATAGGGAGCTCCGCCGATGGCCCCAATGGAAGGGGTCGCATGCGGTTCCCCTCACCCAGGGCAGCGCTTCGTGGCCACATAGGGAGCTCAGCCGATGGCCGCAGTGGGGGGGGTCGCATGCGGTTTCCCCACCCACGGCAGCGTTTCGCAGCCCCATAGGGAGCTCCAGTGATGGCCTCCGTGGAGTGGGTCGCATGCGGTTCCCCAAGCCAGGGCAGCGTTTCGTGGCCCCATAGGGAGCTCCGCCGATGGCCCCAGCGGGGGAGGGTCGCATGCGGTTCCCCCACCCAGGGCAGCGCTTCGTGGCCCCATAGGGAGTTCCGCCGATGGCTCCGTTGGGGGGGTCGCATGCGGTTCCCCCACCCAGGGCAGCGCTTCGTGGCCCCTGGCCCCATAGGGAGCTCCGCCGATTGCCCCAGTGTGGGGGGAAGGGGGGGTCGCATGCGGTTCCCCCACCCAGGGCAGCGCTTCGTGGCCACATAGGGAGCCCCGCCGATGGCCCCAGTGGGGAGGGGTCGCATGCGGTTCCCCCACCCAGGGCAGCGTTTCGTGTCCGCACAGGGAATTCCGCCGATGGCCCCAATGGAAGGGGTCGCATGCGGTTCCCCAGCTCAGGGCAGCGTTTCGAGGCCCCACAGGGAGCGCCGCCGATGGCCCCAGCGGGGGAGGGGGTCGCATGCGTTTCCCGTACCCAAGGCAGCGCTTCGTGGCCCCATAGGGAGCTCCGCCGATGGCCCCAGTGGGGGGGGGGCGGGGTCGCATGCGGTTCCCCCACCCAGGGCAGCGTTTCGTGGCCCCATAGGGAGCTCCGCCGATTGCCCCAGTGGGGGGCGTCGCATGCGGTTCCCCCACCCAGGGCAGCGCTTCGTGGCCCCATAGGGAGCTCCGCCGACGGCCCCGGTGGAGGGGGTTCGCATGCGGTTCCCCCACCCAGGGCAGCGCTTCGTGGCCCCATGGGGAGTGCGCGGCGCTGAGGCGCGAACCACATTTTGAAAACGACCCGCCCTCAATCCGTGAAGCTCTTGCAAATGTTTATGACGAGCGCGCGCGGCGCTAAGGCGAGAACCACATTTTGAAGTCGACCCGCCCCCAATCCGTGAAAATTCTGAAATTGGTTAAAATGAATGTGCGCGGCGCTGAGGCGAGAGCCACATGTTGAAAACCACCCGTTCTCAATCCGTGAAGCTGTTGCAAATTCTTAAACCGAGTGTGCGCGGCGCTAAAAACGAGAACCACGTTTTGAAAAGGAACCGCCCTCAACCCGTGAAGCTCGTGCACATCCTCTGAAATGGAATGTGCACGGCGCTACGGCGGGAACCACATTTTGAACACAAACTGCCCTCGATCCGTGAAGTTCTTGCAATTTTAAACACGGATGTGCGCGGCGCTAAAGCGAAAACCACATTTTGAAATCGACCCGCCCTCAATCCGCGAAAATTCTGCAATTGGTTAAAATGAATGTGCGCGGCGCTGAGGCGAGAGCCACATGTTGAAAACCACCCGTTCTCAATCCGCGAAGCTCTTGCAATTGGTTAAAATGAATGTGCGCGGCGCTGAGGCGAGAGCCACATTTTGAAAACCACCCGCTCTCAATCCGTAAGCTTTTGCAAATTCTTAAACCGAGTGTGCGCGGCGCCAGGGCGAGAGCCACGTTTTGAAAAGGAACCGCCCTCAATCCGTGAAGCTCGTGCACATTCTCTGAAATGGAATGTGCACGGCGTTGAGGCGGGAACCACATTTTGAAAAGGATCTGCCTTCAATCCCGAAGCTCTTGCAATTTTAAACACGAATGTGCGCGGCGCTAAGAGCGAGAGCCACGTTTTGAAAACGACCCGCCATGAATCCGTGAAGCTCTTGCACTTGTTTATAACGAATGTGCGCGGCGCTAAGGCGAGAGCCACATTTTGAAAACGACCCGCCCTCAATCCGTGAAGCTCTTGCCAATGTGTATAACGAATGTGCGCGGCGCTAAAGCGAGAGCCACATCTTGAACACCATCCGCCCTCAATCCGTGAAGTTCTTGCAACTTTGCAAGGCAAGTGTGCGCGGCGCTGAGGCGAGAGCCACATTTTGAAAACGATCCGCCCTCCATTTGTGAAGCTGTTTTCACATTTTTAGCTTCAAAGTCATAAGTGATGAGGACGTCTCAGGAGAAACGCCCGGCCCACCCTAAAATCTGGCCTCGGGGTGCGACAGAGAGGAGTTATCTATAAGGATAAGGAATGGAGAGGGAATGGAGGAGGAGGAGGAGGAAGAGGAGAAGGAGGACGAGGAGGAGGAGGAAGAGGAGGGGGACGAGGAGGAGGAGGAGGAGGAGGAGGGGGACTGAGAGGAGGAGAAGGAGGAGGTGGAGGAGGGAGGAGGAGGGGGAGGGAGGGAGGGGAAGGGGAGGAGGGAGGAGGAGGAGGAGTTGGAGGGGGGACCGGGGAAGTAAAGAGAAGGAGGAGAGAAGGAGCGATGTGATAGAGGCAGATCATGATGATGGCAGTGATGATGATGATGATGATGGATCATGATGATTATTATGATGATGGAGTAGGAGGAGCTAGAGGAGTAGTTAGATTAGGAGGACTAGGGGGTCGGGCGGCGAGGAGGACCAGAAGCTGGAGGGCGAAGGAGGGGCGGGAGGAGGAGGAGGAGGAGGAGGAGGAGGAGGAGGTGTGAATTCGCCGCGCATGCCCGTTTTCCAGTTTTTTATGTGTTAGAAGGCGTGGCCTCTGGACCGCAGGCGTCACCCCCACCTCTCTTAGAATAGTAATGATTGCATCGGGATATCAGAGGCCTAGAGGTTGGCACCAACACAGATATCGGCGGCGTGCCTCCACCGAGGGAAGATGATCCCCGCGATGGTGGTAAGATTCGGTGTCCTAGGCGGTCGAACCACTAACACCATAATCTAGGATCATCTCCCCCAGTGGAGGCAGCCGTCTGGATTGGTGCTGGTGCCCATTCCCAAGCATCCAAGCATAGACCGTCGGCGGAGGTCCGCGCGAATTTCGTCGTCGTCGTCGCTGCCAAGGTGACAAGGTGCGGGGGCACCCCTCCTTGCATGCTGAAGGGCTGGCCATTGAAAACCGCTGTCCTGGCGAAGGGTTGGCGAAAGCGAGCAGCCTTCAGCATGAATCGAAGAAGACAGCATCAACTTGTCACGTCGGCGTTCCCGAGCGTCAGACAGCATGAACATAACCTTTTCGGAGCTCCGCGCGGATTTTCTGGAGAATGGCGCTGGGCCCTCTGGCGGCGCCTCCGGCGCCGACCCTGGCGCGCTCCGCGCCTCGGGGAGGGGGGCCCAGCGCCAATCCAAGAAGCCCGCGCGGAGCTCCAAGGAAGAGGGGATCCAGCGCCGATCCAAGAGATCCAGGGGGTATCCAGCGCCAGTCCAAGGGGGGACCCGGCGCGAGAAGTCCGAGGGGCATCCAGCGCCAAGCGAAGAAGTCCCATCCAAGAAGTCCGGTGAAGGCGGGGGGCCCTGAGGTCAGGGGCACCGTCAGGTGGGAACGGGCTCAGGGGAGGACGCGTCGACCCCCACTCAGCCACCGATCGCCGCGAGGGGCCCGATGGCCTGCCCCGCCCGGGGCCGTGCGGAGTCGTAGCCGGGGGCCTGTCGCTGGCGTGTCGGCGATGCGTCGCCGAGCCCAGGTCGATATGCTTCCTCCCCGGAGCCGGTCCCCAGAGGAGGGAGGAGGGAGGAGGGAGGAGGGAGGAGGGTAGAGGGCCATTCTTTTCGCCGTTTCGGGACCTCGGTGCTTGCTTGCCCCAGGCCCGAGGACCGCCGGTCAGAGCGGCTCAGGACGAGAGGGCTGGTCCTTGGGGAAGGCCCAGGTGTCCTGGACCCCTTTCCCTGTGGACCCCTTCCTTTCGTGTCGATGTGTCGAGCGCCAGGTCGACCGAGTTGCTCTGGGTGTGCTACCAGTTGTTCTAGCTTTAGCCTCCAATTATCGGCAGGTGTCCCAGCCTGCGAAATGCAACACTTCGCACAGCGCCTGGATCATGCCTGCGGGCAGCTAACACATCGAGGAGAACCTCCTGAGGCAAGCATGGGCCTACAGTCATGAATCCGTCTCCCGATTCCCTCACCTTGGCCTTCTACAGTATGTAACCTTCTTTTTCAGTGCGCAATTGGCAGGGTTTCGTGCAGCCACTGCGCATAATGGCAAAGCTAGGCACTAATGGCCTGCTTTGTCAAGCTTGCAACTTGTCAAAGACAGGTTGTACATTTTTGTCATGGCTCCAACGCTGCGCCATGGAAAAACAACGTCAGCATCGTCCTCACGCAGTCTTTCAGCTGTGCTGGTCCTCCTCGTCTTGCCGTTCATCGTGCTCTTCAAGTATCCTCCGAATTTCGATATGTTGAAGACTTGTGCCAGTACATGACTTTTGTTTGCACGGCGCCGATCCCTTGCACGTTCGTCGCATGCTACGATGTCTCATCCGGCATCTGTCTGGCTTGCTTCATAAACATCCTCCCTCCTCCCACGCCTCCTTCCCACCCTTCCTTTCCTCGTAGTCCTGCTCATCCTCCGCCTCCCTCCTCCTCCTCCCTCTTCCTCCTCCTCCTCCTCCTCCTCCTCCTCCTCCTCAGCCGCCGCAGCGGCCCGAACCACACTCCTTCGCGGCTCCTCCCACTTCAGAGGAAAGAGATTCCGCGACAGCGGCATGATTCGTCGCGCGCGGGGTCTGCCGAGCCCTTGAGAGAGGGTGGCGGATGGCCCTGCAGGCGTCGGCTCCTCGCCACGGGCGCCTGCAGCTGGTGATCTTCTTTTCTGTTTGGGAAATGACGAGCTCGCCAGGCCAACGCCCCCAACCGAGTGGACATACAAGGATAAGGGCATGCACGTACAACCCGATGCACCTCGTCGGACCGATGAGATGCACAGATATATCCCAGGAGTTTCACAACATCGGAGTCCTCCTTTTGACAGGAACATGCAGGCGGAAGGGAGAGGACGATCACCATATTTTCAAGCACGAAAAGCGCTGGGAGATCTCTTTCGGATGGACACGGGCCAGCAACAAGTCGTGTGGGGTCTCGATCATGATGCACAAGCAGATGTTCCCTCCGCGCGCCCTCCGTCGACTGTACGCACCCCCTCCTGCTTTGGCCGGCCATGCGGGCGCTGTTCGCCTGAAGACGGCGACGCTCGACGTATTGTTCGTTGCCCTCTACTTCCCCTGCCAACCTCAGGGGCGAGGACACGCAGCTGCATATCGGAAGACGGTCCAGGCCCTGATCGCCTGGACGAGAGCTACGATCGAGTCGGTCGGCGCCCGTTGTACCCCAGTGATAGGATGCGACCTGAACGATGGCTTGGGGAACTCGCCCGAGACGTCGCTGGACGAGGCAGCGCTGCACTACTGGGAGGACGACGAAGAGGACCGAGCGGTGGGCACATATTCTCCTTCGGCAGAAGGCCTGGCGGGCAGGTTCTGGCACCAGATGCTGCAGGACTGCGACATGGCCGCCTGCAACACGTTCACGGATGCGGACCCCACGCACTACGGCAACATGGGGAAGAGCTCGCGCATCGACTTCATCCACATCCCCCAGGGCCTGATGGCGCACATGACGAACTGTAGGGTGCTGGAGGCTGCAGGCCGACGGCTCCAACCCATCCAGACCCTCGACGACCGCGACCACAGGCCCGCCTTCGTGGAGTTGTCTTATTGCTTTCAGGCCCAGATGGGAAGTCAGCCAGGTTGGGATTTTGATCGGATCATGGCGGCGGCTCGCAGGGAGACAGGTGCACAAGTTTGATTGAGCAGATACATGCGGCGCTACTGACCATAGACGAGCCTGAGTGGGTGCGACTCTGCACGCGCCCGACGTCGGACGAGCTTTGGAACTCGACGGCGGCTCTCTTGGTGAACGAAGCTCGGGAGGTCTTCGGCAAGCCGCCGCCGACCGAAAGCTTGAAATTGGACATGGAAAAAGCAAAGATCTCACCTATTAGAGCGGCGCAAGCTGCTGAAAGGCGCGCACACGGGGAGACACACGGAGACGTGGCAGGATACTGAACTTGAGCTGGACAGAGTGACTTTCCGCATCCGCTATACTTCTAAGCAAATCGCAAAGGAGAGGACGGACGAGGTCGTACGTGAATTGAAAGAAGCGTGGTCGGCCCAAGATAACTATACAGTGCAACGGCTGATTCGCAGGCTTGCTCGACGGCGGCGCGGCCCTCGTCAGCGGCGATACTTTGCGACGAAGACGGAGCAGCGCGACGCCGAGCAGATCAGCACTTACATGCAGAGGGCCGCCTCCGAGGGGGGCATGGGGGGGATCGCCCTGCGATCTTCAGGCCGAACTCACCGAACGTTTCGATCGAGTTCACTATGAGGACGAGGAGGACAACAATTTCAGCTCGGACCAGGCGAGGTACGACACGATGCAGCTTGTCAACCTGGAGCAGGCCCAGTTGAACTTACAGGGCATGCTGAAGGTATTGAGATCCTCGCCGAAGCGCCGAGTTTGCCCACGCTGGTCGATGCCGTCGGAACTCTGGCTCCTATTGCTGGACGAGGAGGTGTGGGACTCTTTCAGGCGAGGTGGGCTGGGCGCTGGCCGCGCCCCTCGACGGCGATGGCCTTCCTCGAGCGGATCACGGACATCATTGCGAGCTTCGGCGATCCAGACAGTCACCCCTGCTCTTCGATATCTCTTCGTGCCTGGGCCTGGACAAGAGGAACGGCAAGTCGGGGGCAGCTGGTCAGAGGTGGATTCACTTATTCTGCCCAATGGGCAAGGCCTGGCATTCTCACCTCTGGCGTCGTGGCCGATCGGTTCGCAGCAGTTTACCATGGCACTGCCGCGGCTTCGCCCTCCGAAGGAGGCGCGAGGACGCTATCGCAGTGCAGGCTTGTGCTTCGTGAAGGCTTGAACAGGAGGGCCTCTCGCATGCCATCGCGAACGAGGATGCGACGAACGCTTTCGCGAGCACGGACAGAAACACCATCCTCGAGGCCCTCCCCTCCCTTTACCCCCGGGAGGGCATCGTCTTCCAACTTCGTCGCGCTGTCCAGGGGGCTCTTCAGATCGAACCTCCATCGGGACCAATAGCACTTAGACCGTCGATGGGGGAGATGATGGGCCACCCGGACCCAGCCAGAGCTTTCCCGTACTTTTACGAGGTGGGCCTCGCTCGGTTTCACGATCGCCGTTCGAGGACGTCTTCGAGACAATACGCTGAGGCGATCGAGATCGACGGTTCTGCGAGCGATGTGGGCTTGACGATTTTCGCCGACGACATCGCGAAGATAGTAGTTCCTGGATGGGGATCTGAGCCGCGCGCCAGCGGGAACGAGGCGGCGCCCCTTGCGGCGCTGGCGGGGTCGAGCAGTTTCCACCTCCGAGAGGCCCTCTTGGAGATCGGCATCTCTTTGAACCCCGAGAAGAGGGCCACGCTTGCTAGGATCTTTGGTCGAGGCTGTGCAGGTCAACGCCGCCTGCGGCACAGCGGAGCTCTAAAAGCGTCAGGCATTCGGGGCCGTCACATCAGAGTTCTGGAAGGCTGGTTCACTTTTGACGGGGCCCCTGGCCGTGGAAAAGACGAAGCGCGTCCAAGCTGGGAAAAAAACGGTCTGGGGCTCATCTCTTGCTTATTGGTCAAGCCCGCCGCTAGTGCCATCAAGAGGGCGGCGATCATCTCGTTCGTTCAGGCGGCACTCCTCTCGGGCATGGAGGCGCGCGTCCCTGGCGCCTCCTATTGCGAGCAGGCGGACAGGGTGCTGCTTCTAGCCATGCGTCGGGGTCTAGGCCCCCAGGGGACTGCCAAGGGCGACGACGGGGAGATCCGCAGATGGCCATCAACAAATGTCTGGGAGTATTGGAAGATATTGCCGGCTTCGGAGGAGCTACGGGCGCGTCGTCTTGGTTGGCTCCAGAGTTGGGCTCGCTGTCCAGAGGCACACCGTCAGGTCAGAGCGTGCATCCTGGGGCCCATGGGGAGTTTCGACACGATCAATCCCGACTGGACCCTTCACCCGAAGGCCAACCCTTGGGCACGGCAGATCCTGGAGGACCTTAGGTACGCCCACGAACATTGTGAGGACTTCTTCATGCTAGTCCCCTCGGGTTACCCCTTGCTGAAGTTGCTTTACATTGACGAGTTTAGGGGCTGGGCCTTCGTGGACTTCACGGTCCTGCGTGCGGCGGCCTACTCTAAGACCTTCGCCCCTCCAGAACGCCCTCCTGAGGCTCCCGAGGTTCCTGAGACCGAGGAGGAGATGGCCCCTGAGGGCCAGTTCGTCTGCAACATGGCGCTCACCACGGGCGCCAAGTGCAACGAGAAGTTCAGCGCCATGAAGGCACTCCTCCTTCATGCTGGTCGGGCCCACCGCGTTCGAAATGAAGCTGCACCTTTGACAGCGGCCAACCAATGTTTTAGATGCCTACAAGTCCTGAGCACAAAAGAGAACGCGGAGAGGCACGTCATGATGTCGTTCAAACGAAATGTATGCAGTCGTGGGAGGAGCTCTTTCTTGGCGCAAGATGTCCAGATCCCCAGCGAACTTCGCTGTCCTGTGCGTAGTCATGGGGCTCAAAGTCTTTATGAGCTTCAAGTACATATTCGCTCCCATTGTTCCGCACCTCAGCCTGAAGTCAGACACAGTCGGCAGCATGTCGCAGGCGGCGGGATCGGTGCAGGACGTCGACATGATGGACCTCAACGCGCTGATCGAGCTCGGCAAACGCAAAGAGGCCCCTGGTGGCGAAGACGGAGCACGCGGACCCAAGGGGCGCAAGGTGGCAGAGGCAGCGGACGAAGCCGAGGACACACTGAACCAAGTGGAGAACGCGCTCCGCGGAAAAGACGTTGCAGCGGCGCTGTCCCTCCTCCTAAATGGCTTCTGCATGCACTCGCAGCTCCTTCGCGACCTGGCGGCGGTGGTCTGGGTCAGCGTGATTATTCCGGCACTCTCGCCGATTATCGAGGCTTCCAGGGCCGCTGGAAAGCTTTACGCAGAGGCAGCTGGGTTCCCCAACGTGAAGGACAAGCTGGGGCCGCTGCATTTACACATAGCGCGCGCAGGGTTCAAATGTTTGGTGGAAGCAGAATCGAGTCTCAATCAAGATTGGTGGCGAGGCGCTGGACGTGACACGCCTGTTCTACGCCAAGTTCATACAGAGCGGACGGACGCAGGAGCTCGGATTATCGATCCGACACTTCCGCTGCAAGAAATGCTACAACGAGGACAAGACACGACTTCAATTCGCCATAGTGGACGGGGTCCAGCTCCAGAGCGATTGCA